CTCCGTCAGGAAGTGGTGGGATTGGGGCTGGTCCTGGATCCTCTCCCGCAAACCTATCTTCGCCAAGGATCTCGAGATGAACGAGGAGGAATCCAAAATCCTCGGATCTCAGAACAGAGGTAGCTGGAGACACGTCTTCTTCAAGTTCAGGTCCGAACTCAGAAAGCTCATCGGCTCCGACGTCGGCCTCCCCCAAACCTGCAAATACGAATCCTTCAATTTCTCCAAGAACTTCGACAATGGCGGAATCAAAACCTAATTCTGTTGAATCGCGGCCAAATCTGGCAATATAGCCACGATTCTTCACCGTCTTCCTCGCTTAATTTGTATCCAATTATTATTACTATTCCTTTTTTGTTTGCTAAATCTCGCCGGCGAAGATCGATTAGGGTTCAAGTTGTTGATGAAACGGAACGATTCCGGTGGTTAAAATTTGCGGCATTGCTATGGATCCAAGCGACAGGTGATACAGAATTGAAAAATAGGTAGGGATATCGTTGTCATTATTTAGATTGTTTCTTTATGTGGATGCCCTTTTCTTTTTCTCTTTATGTCGGTTGTTTTCATTTTGTATAACAGTGCTGTTATTTTTTGTATTTTTTATTTTTTACTTTCAGAGGGTCAAATGTAAAAATATTACCATATTATTATCATTGTCACGAATTTTAATGTTTACTTGATATTTTAATTTAACCTCTCTTATTATGGAAGAAAATGGTCATTTTAATTTGATGTGAAATTATTATCTGAAGATTTCAATTTATAGTTCTTTTTAGTATGGAAGTTGATATTTGAATTCATTGTCCTTGATATATTTTTAATTAATTGAGTTATCTTCAAGTTACCATTTCAGTTTATAGTTATGAAATATTAACTAAATCAATTCAGGAGTGAATTTCTCCCTTTATATAAATCTAAAAATTATTTTTAAAAAAATTATCACACTTTAAATCGACAGATACCTACTCAAATAAAGCAACGAGGAAATGTAACGTTTCCTACGCTTTCAAAATAAATTAATAAACAAAAAAGATGGTTGATCTTAATGTAAGACCCACGATTTGAGAACAAAGTTGGTAAGTGAAAGATAATTTTTGTTTCATTATTCCTTAATTATTGTATTCGTTAAGTAATTTTAGAAAAATGCATGCATGAGATAAATATTATTTTAACAAATCCATTTCTTACTTTGAAGTTTGATGAGCATAAAATTGATAATTTATTAAGAAAAGTAGAATAAAAGTGAAAAAGGCACATTATATATATATATATATATATATATATATATATATATGCTGACAGAGGAAGGAGAGACTAAATGAAGTAAAAATAAATAAAATAAGGGGTGTGCAAATGATATTCTAAGTGTCGGTGATGATGGCTCCCAATCATTGCCAGCGGGTTATGTGTAGTCCAGCCATTAACTCGTTGTTCACATTTCTTAAAAAAAATAATAATAATAAAAATAAAACTCATTATTCAAATCTAATGTTAAATATAAAATAACAATAACAATAATAATTATGTTCTAACAATAATAATAATAATAATAAATAGAAAAAAAACTCGGTAAAAAGTAGCTATTATCTAAGCTAACATAAGAATGGTTCAACCATCAAAGGTATCTTACTCTCTAATTATTGAACTAAAATATTAAAATAATAATTAATAACTAGATGAAAATGAAGGTGATACTTTGATATGTACATTCACATGTGTTTTCATGGCGTTCTTTCAATTTTAAAATATTAAGCTTTATTCTTTGAATTTTATTAAATATTTATTTTTAATAAATTACGGTTTCATTTTATTGTTGGATTGTTGATGCTAAATTATTTCAAGTTCTAAAGATTGACTTCTAATGAACCCGGACAAGCTAAAGAGGAGTGAGTTGCGTGAAAAGAGACCTGCACAGAAAGAACAAACACTCTGAAGCTCGAGTTATTAGTGAGGATTCGAGTACAGTAAATCAGTCTTATATAGAATAGCGTACCTGAATCGAATGAATGATACTCATTTTATAAACAGAGTGGAGAGACAGGTTCGTTATGGCCGTTTTGACAAAAGGTTAAAGACAATTAAAAATTCTCAGATTTGAAGTCGGATCTCTCAAGTCAGTTAGATTGAACTCAGGAGATTCCTTAAGCCTTTTTAGGTTGGGTCAGCTCGACTCTAGATTTAGGTTGAATTTCTCCTTTCAAGTAAACAATGCTGGCCACTCTTCTTGAGCTGAGTTGATTGCTCCACGTGTCATGTTGATTTTTACCATCCAACATTCATTAATAAAAATTTGTAGCCATCATCTAAAGTGTTATACTATCTACCTTATAAATATATACAAATGTAGGTTGAGATATTCACTGTAGAGAAGTTTAATGATGGAACACCATAAAACGATTTTTAACAAAAAAAAGTTAGAATCAAAGTAAGAATTAAATCTTATTGTTATGAGTTAATGTCACCCTGATTCTTTTATGAATCTTCTGCTATCACAACTTATACTAGTACTTTATATTATTACTTCAATATTACTAAGGATGAATAAATCATCACTCAACCAAAAAGCTTAAATTAATGAGTTGAAAAAGTTTAATTCATATATATGATATGATCAAATAGCAGTATAATTTTTAAAACGGAGAAAAAACAATAATATCACATTGTTAAAAGTGAACTAATTTGTATATTTTTTTTTTTTTTACAAATATATCACTTTCAACCATTATTAATTTTTTTTAGTAGTATATACAGAGATAGGAATTCAAACTCACGATATTTTAGTCAGATATAGATACTTTAACTCGTTAGGTTAGGATTGAATTATATTCTTAGCAATAGTTAATTAAATTATATGTGGGTACTTTAATAGATTATAGCAACATAATTTTGAAACTAGTAATTCAAATTTTTAATTTTATAAAATATTACTAATAGTTTAACCCCTGCGGAATGAGTGGGCGGGCTACACATGAAACATATGAACGGCAAAATAAAGAGAGGCACGTACGTACCATAAAATAGATCCAACAAAGCGTCACCGACACGGAATTTAAAGACATCTGGATCCTGGGAGTTGTGACAGTTTGGCAGTCCAGGTGGCAATATTTCCGTCATCCAAATATACCTATTTCTAATTATATATCAAAAGAAAAAAACTATTGATGGTTGAAAAATAGTAACGCACAATAAATTATCTTAAAATATTTTGGGTTAAAATACTATTTTTCTCCATTTACCTTTTCATTTTGACATCTATACTTTTAAAATATTATTTTAATATAATTTTTCTTTTATCTTGAA